TAAGTATTTAATTAAAACTGGTAAAAGAACATAAATATCTGCCTCGTGTGCTCTGACAAATTAAGATAGGATTTAGTCCCCCCCCCCGAACCCTGAAAACAGCACTGGCAAAAGTCACTAATGATATTCTCCTTACCTTGCATCTGTACTGTACTTGTCCTGCTAGATATTAGTGTTGCAGTTGATTACAGTATTACCATAGAAAGGGTTGAATCTTCTGTTGGAATTACATATTTGGCGTGTGCTACAATCTGTGTGTTTAGCTTGAGGATGCTTGCAAGACTTATTAAAAATGGTATTTTTGAAATTATGAGCAATCAGCAAATGTGGAAGTTTAATAATTACATACATGGCCAGTGTAGAATCAATCTATAATATCTGAGAGAAAGAAAAAGTGCTGCAGCCGTCCCCAGTTTCCCCTACCCACTAAAATAAAGTAGATTACACCATGGACTGATTGTTACAGTACAAAGACAGCTGTCATTTATGTTTGTACGTTTAAGTTTAAGCAGGGAGTTTATTGATGGAGATGAATGTACTTCATAGAAATGTTGCAAGATTTGATTGAATAACTGAATCACTTGACAATTTGATTTACTTTGAATGCACAACTACCAAATAATAAAATGACCTCTGTCTGCCATTTTAGAGATGTTCTTAATATTGTCAGCTCCCTAACTTCACAGTCAACATCACTTTCTTTAAATAGATACAATATGGAGCACATGGCGTAGTATTTGGCCTTAAACATCGTGCCAAAATACTCTCTTTCTTTTTTCCTGCTTAGGTTCCCCCAGATTCCTTATGAAGGTGTGAGCTATGCCACAAATGTTCCTTGCCCAGGAAAAGCCCCTGGTTTAGGTTTTACTAGGTGGAGATATTTCATGTTGGGCCAGGGCTTCAAAATAGATGTGAGGTTACAAGCCTTATGATAAACAGGAAAGTTTATTCAATAGTCATTCAATATGTTTATTCAAAACATTTTGGAGGTGTTAGAAACAGGCCAGTGTAGTTCAGCTACTCTTCCTTCCTTCCAGCAGTTGGTCTGTTAGGCTACACTGGTTGAGCTCCATTGCAACAGTTACAGTAGCAACCATTAAACATTTCCCCACTTTCCTTGACTGGCCATTGGCTGGTCATGGGCTGGTCCCCTACAATTCCCTTTTAACATCAATATTTGTACTAAAATATTCTTTCTGTCATGATTTGTGGACATTAAGATCTAAAGAGAAACGTCATGTCCTGGTCAGTCCCTGTAATTCAGTAAAAGGGTGGAGTCAGAGTAAAAAAAATATGCAAGAGTGGCTGGAAGTTGGAGGCGATTTCGCTGGGAGTTGGAGGGAAGTGGGCTGCCCTGCAGCTGGTGTTTAAATGGAAAGGGCCATTTTGAATGGCTGCTACTGTATCAGTTACCATGTTATTCTTCATGGAATTTATACCAGTAGACCACTGTAATTATTAGCAGTATCCTTTTACAAAACACTTGGAGGATATCCTTGTAACTCATTGCATTAGTAAAAAAATATTATGTATACTTCTTTACATCATCATATGATGGGACACTTAAACTTGAACATGATATTTATACTCTCACTTTTATAATGCTCCCTTAGAAGTTGTTATTAGGTGCATAACACTGAGGCAGCTTAGCCAGCTTCTTGGCTGTTTGTGGTTTGTGTGACACACCACATAGGAGCTTTAACATTGTGGCTCGTTTTATCAGGGAGAAGGGTCGTGAATAACAGTTAAAAGAGGCTTTTTTAGAGTCCTACCATGCCATATCATCACATCATTAGATCATATTATAATTGAGATAATACAGTGTTCTAAAAAAAAAAGGACAATCCAAATTAACACTACGAGAACTATCTCTGTAGAAAAAAATCCTACTCTTGTCTGTATCTTCCCAGTTCATTTATAAATCTGTGTTACATACATAATGAAGATGATTACTTTTTATCCTGACAAAAAAATTGTTGCAATTAGATAAATGCCGTGTCACGGTCTTACTTTCTGTTTAACTTTAATCCGTGTGTTTCATTGGTTTATTTCCTTCTTTGTGTTTCTAGATTTATTTTAGTTCTCAGGTTTTTCTGTTTTTGTCCTCTGTTGCCCTCTTATGTGTGTTCCTTTCCCCTTGGCTCCCTCGTTGTCTCCACTCACACCTGCTCCTTATCAGCTCGTTAGCCCTGCCATTGTCTCAGTCAGCTATAGATACTCTCCCTCTGCTGTCACTCCTTGTTGGTTCCTCTGTTGTTGCTGCTTCTGCTGTTGCTGGTCCTGTCGTCGCTGTTGTGGTCATACCTCATCATACCTCGTCTTACTCTGTCCTACCTCGTCTCACCCTGGCTCCTCGAGATTATATTCCCCTGATGTCTCCATGGTTCTGATTTGTGTTACATATTAAGTTGAATTTTGGATTCCTGCCTTTGTTAAACTGTTTCCTCTGATTAAATCTACAAGAACTCACCTCTGCCTCCCTGCCTCTGTATTTGGGTTCTCAGACCTCACCAAAACGTAACACGGCGAAGGAGAACATTAACCTTAACACTTGACAGGAAGATAATATGAAGGTTTAACAACCATATACAAAAATGACCAAAAATAATCCCAACTATTATATGTCATAGTCAAATTATACATTGATCCTCTACAAATGCTCTGAAGTTTGTTTACTGGCTGGGTTTGATAGAATTAAATTATTGACCAAATGAGAAAATTCAGTCTCAATTTCCAACATAGTCAACATCATGAATAGGTTGCTTATCATACATTTTATTCCACATTTCATAATAATAGCTCAACAAATGTATATCTGCTTTTTTGAAGCGCAATAATAAAATTAATAAGCAAACATAGCGTGAATAATAAAACAAACCTTGTGCATATAAGTTTGAATAGGAGTGAGAACAACTGCTTTCTAGTCATAGTTTGTCTTGTACCCGATTTTGTCCAAATGGTCACTGGCCACTTGAATGGAACCTGAAAAAGTTCAAAGCTTTGGGTTAACATTTATTTCAGTAAAACTAAGGAAAAAGTCAAATTTTAACAAGTAAAATCTCACCTCCGAGACATCCTCGACAGCCGGTTAAACATGCTAAATGTCACAGACATTTAAGTATTTAGTGTATTTAATCTTTTCAGAGCCATAATGTTTTCTTTCTGCTTTTTGAGACTATGCATTAAATTGGCTAAAAGCATTTTACCTTCCTTCACGGCTTTGAAGCTCAGCAATGCGATTCCTTAAACAAGAAAAAAATAAAAGTAGAGGACATTACTGAGAGATCTTTTCTTTTAAACAATCTGCTCTACTTAATAAACCGATAATATAAAAGAAACACACTTGTATTTTTTCAACATAAACACACAGATGACCCCAAAAGTTACAGCTGTGCCAATGGCCACTGCAACTGGAATGATGATGTGATAATAGGTTTCTTTACCTGTAAACAGAAATGAAATCAAATGTAAGTTATGTGATGAAAATATACAAGGGTGCAACACCCTGTATTTTTCTACATTGTTCAATGATAGATTTTGATAATATTTAACAATGTTTGTAATGAAAATCAAACCTCACGTTTTACATTGAGTTTAATGGAACTTTTTGAGGATTTGCCCCCACTAAATGTTGCTGTGCAAATGATGTCAGTGTGGTCATCATTTTCGTTAGGAATAAAGGTCAGGATGGACTGAGTCTCCCAGATCCCAGAGTGAATGTCTTTTTGAATCTCAACAATGTCATCTTTACTTCCTCGATTCCATGTAAATACAGGTACACGTGAGGGGCAGGTATGGCGGACAGAGCAGATGACTGTGTAAGATGTTCCTGAAACAGCTGTGTTTGAATGATGCAGTTCAGGCTTTGGGGTTTCAACTGTAAAAAGAAGATAAGAAAAAATAAACTGATGTAAAAGTGTTATCTATTGCTAATAATAATGGTTCACATAGATGGTGACATACTGAGCATCTTTAATTCAGCACAATCCTCGACAAAGGAGAACTTTTCTGGTGTAGGTGGGCTGTTGGGCTTTTTTACAAGTTCAATGCGAAAACACAACGGGCCATTGTCATGATCTTTAACTGCATTTATTTCTAAGGTGCAGTTACTCTTTCCCAGTACCCCGAGCATCTTTGTTCTGCCCTTAAATGCATCCATGACCATTGTCTCATCCTCACTGTAGATAAAGGAATCTTTTTTGCTACCACGAAGCCAGAGTCCCCTCAGTCTGGAGCTAGGGAGTAGTCCACCAGGGTGGCTGAAGGAGCAGGGTAACACAACACAGGAATCAACTAGCGCGTCAATATTTTTGACAACAGAGGCCTTCCATGCTTCTCCAAACACAGGGCTGTAAATAACTGCAAGATAAGTAATTCGATAGGTTCAGACTAATAATCCTGACAAGTATCAAGAAACTGGAAATAAACATATGAGAAATTTACCAGCCAAAAGCAGAAAGACAATGACTGACTTTTTGTCTGTTTCCATTCTTCTGGTGTTTAGTGGTATAGACTGATCCTTAATGTTAAAATCTAGGTAAAAAACACATACAAAAGAATTTTTTAGTACAATTAACACAAATCAAATGTAACATCAGTGGATCATCATTCATCATATAAAAAATAAAACTGTTACTTAGATATATTTCTTCAGTCTTTTCTATGGAAAAGAAGGACCATGGTTTTACACTAAACCATGCCAACAAAAAGCTCAGGTAATCCTCACTTTTTTAATTATGTTTCTTAATGTGAGAAAACTATTCCGCAATATCTAGGGACGGTAAGTGTATTTTTTGAAAAGCACTTCAGGAGCAAGAAAAAATGCTGTACATGAGCAGAGAACAAGAAATTGAAAACATGGATAAAAAGTATGACACACTGGCATAATAGAGGCATGTAAAGACAAGGTGGACTTTAAACCAAAAACAATGATGCTTTAGTTAACATTGCAAAATGTAACAATGAAAACCAACTATGAACAAATTATGTCTTTTAACCTTTGTTTAAACTTACTCTGTGTTTTAGCACATTTAGTCTTTAAGTTTATTCCAGATAATTGAAGAATGGTTCTGCATAAGTAGATTTATACTAGAGGTCCTGAGTGGACACTGACAAGTCTGCAATGTATTTTTACCAAATAGTTCAGACAAAAATATATTAACATTAGTATGGACGGAGCTCTCAGAATATCACAGAATGCATGTAAAAGCCTTATGACACCAATGATTTTTTTAAATATTGATTAAAAAAATGTTTCTCTCTTCTTGAAGGAATGTGAAATGAGAAGTTGTTAGTTGGTAAAATATCAGGGCAAAAATCTTTGATAACTTCTTGAAATTTCATGTTAAAATTGAAGGTAATTTAGGTATTATTTATGAAGTTTTAATTAACCTGCAATATTCCCCCAAAACAAAACACAATGTACAAACAACAAAGTGATGGTAAACTAGAAAGTATTTGTTCTGAAACCTCATTTTTTTTGTTTTTCAAGGAAATATTATTTTTCATATTGATAAAAATAAACATATTATAATTACCTTTTACAATAATGTAAAGTCAATCAAAACTTCATATTAGATCATTGGTACTTTACAGTTTTGTCAACAAGGCTATCTCTTATATTTCAATTATTTTTGGTAAAAAAAAAAGACCTTAAATAAGTTTAGGCTGAAGACTAACAAACAAATAAAACGTACACTGAAGTATACAAAATTAATAAATACAAGCATAAAAAAATATATACTAGAAGATTTCAATAGCAATGCTTAAAAAAAAAAAAACACTCTTGAATTTACACTACTCTACCAGGTTTGATGGTATGATCATCTGGTATAACATTCTTTAATTTGATATAGCATGATTTCTTTTGTCTTACCTGATAATAATGCTGCTTTGCTGGTCAGAGATGCAAATGAAAAAGTAAAAAATCACAATGACACTGTTTATATACAGAGGGGGAGAATGGTTTCAGTTCACTCTTTCCTGTGCAGTAAATGAAACAGATGTTTTTGCATACTTGACACAAAGCTTTGGGATGTTTCTACATGTTTATGTCTTACTACTGTGGAAATCTGTGTTATGTGCACTGAGCTCGTTTTATCTGAATAGGAAAAAGATGTTATTGCCAAGAATCTTGTTATTGCCAAGATTTGTAGGTGACCTCAGCTTTTCCTTGTTTCTGTGTGCTAGGGTTCAAACACCATGTCCACTGTATTCTCTGTTTGTGCTATTAAGTATGTGTAAGGCCTTATACTGAAATATGTTTACACAGTGTGAAAATGATCTAGATCCTTCACTACTTTTAACATAGAAAAGTAGGTACAGTAATGCGGAACGGAACACTTTGCACATCACTTTGTGCAAAGCATAAAAAACACCAAAGCAGCAGGGCCTAAAAACATAAGAACAATAACAAATAAGAATGTTTGTCTCTTGTGACATGATTACTGATCTAACTAATTGAAATACTCTCCTACAAGACTGTCTTTATAAGTAACTTTACAGAAAGGGATTTCTTTTAAAAATGCTTCTTGTGAGATGGGGCCTCGACTTTCTGTCCATTTGAGACATTGGATTTAAAGGAGGTGGTCTGGATTGTTTTACTCTGTGAGTTGCTATAAGTAAGTAATTCCAAAAAAGTTAAAAAACAATTAAAAAACAAAGACATTTCGGTTCCCATCCAGAAAGCTTTTTCAATTAAAAATGTCAGGAACAGAGTTAAGTTTGAGGCTATACTGTATACAGTAGCCCAATAAGGCCGTGTTTTTGTTTAGATAAAATTCAAATTGATCGCTCTTCTGTGTTGGGCCATGTGTCTGTGGAGAGGTTGTTTGGTTTCTCCAATATAAAGATCAGAGCATTCCTCACTGCTTTGAACCTCATGTTTAACTGCTGTTTAAGTAAGTAAGTAAGTATGCTTTATTTATATAGCACCTTTCACAGACCAAAGCCAAAAAGTGCTTTACAACCAGTGGTTTCAAAAGTACACACAGTTTTGACTTAAGTAGAAGTATAGATACTGCAGTTTAAAAACACTGGTAAAAGTTGAAGTATCAACTTGACCTCTTTACTCAAGTAAAAGTGAAAAATTATGTGCTCCAAAAACTACTAAAAGTATAAAAGTATAAAGTAATCTTAAAAAAAAAAAACAGCCAGATGCCACTATATGAATTGAAAGCTCAATTTTTCAAATATTTTGAAAAGTTCTTTGAGATAGAGCGAAGGATGAGGGAGTTCTTGTTGGTCTCCATCTCCTGATACGCTCTTGCCTGTGTCCGACCTTTCAGACATTTCAACATCTTTTACTGAATCCTACATTGTAGCATGGCATAGATAATTCACGTTTGCAGTTTGAAGAACACCTGCTTGCCTCTGATGATTTCCTTTAGTTAATCAATGTGTGTTTGTGTTATATGAGTCATCCAATCACACTAGTTTTCACTGGATGGCACCAATGATCTGCATTGGATGGAGCACATGGCGTGAAATAAATATATGTAAACATTAAACCAGGGGTAACCAATTAAAAATCAGTTGTGTACAAATAAAGAAAATCATCAATCAGTAAGGGTCCGGAGACATTATAATCTGTTACTTAAAACAAAATTTAACACTGAAATAAAATTAGGTATTTATGCATTCATGTTATACATTGAATTTTAAAATATAAAAATATATAAATTGCCAAAAATTGCATCCCTAGCTATCGCAGAGGAGTTGACACTGGTATGACTGTATTCCTGGTATATCCAAAGGACAAGGTATATCTAAAGGACAAGGGTCAGAAAATGCCAATTCTGCCCTGTAAAACAATGGAAATTGTCGCTGTCTGATCTGAAGCCTCATTTGGAGCTTTTAAACAGGCTTTTGAAAAACTTTGATAAT